GGCCCCAGCCAAAACCACCGACTAGGTGGCTCACACTTCCTCCAGGCCCCAGACTCCGGGCGGCAGCCGGAGAACAGGGGTGTGAGAAGACCCCGATCCTCCATGCGCCTGCTTAAATGTGGTGTTGTTGCACACAACCAGTGTTAATTTTGGCAACCAGGACAATGACAAAAATATTTCGTCAACGTCCCTTTTTCCCGTGACGATGACGATACGATGGCGCACAAAAATTGCTTCCAGAAAATAAAAATATGATGAAAATAAAAAATTATTTTCGTCAACGAGACTAAGACCAGACGAAATTTACAAGCCATGGACGAATGGACATTAAGAAAGGTAATTGTTTATAATGAATTTGTAATTTGTAATTGTTAAAATAAGTGTTTCTTAAACCTCACAGAAGATTAGGTCCTACACGGCACCTGTCCCACAGTGCCCCGCTCTCAATCAGTAGCAGCACAGGGCCTATACTCCTACACTGGTGGTAGTTAACCCTGGCTAGCTCAACTTCGCAGTCAATGTGTGGGGCTCAGATACCGGTGTACACTTTGTTGGAGGAGCTGGGTGAAAACAATGCCTGGATGTATGGAGCCATTTCGTTTACACCTGTTTGGCAAAAAGTTTCTCAAGAATTTTAAACAAGAAACGAAGATTGGATTTAGGTCAATAATTGACCAAGTCGTCTGGGTCAAGAGACGGTCTCTTAAGCAAAGGTTTAATTACAGCAAACCTAAAAGCCTTTGGTGCATATCCCTGTAACAGAGATAGATTAATTACATCTAAAATGGAGGAGATCAAAGGGAATACCTCCTTAAATAACCTGGTTTGAAAAAGATCTAACATACGTGTTAAAGTACTAGATGAAGAAAATAGTTTTGCTAACTCTGAGAGTTCAACTGGATCAAAGCAGTCTAAACCCAGTTCAGATTCCATGACTACCTCAGATGCTGCCTAACCCTATAGAGACAAACCAATCGCAGATAGAGGAGTGCTAATGATCTTATTTATAAAGAATCCCATTAAATCATTACTGCTTAGAGCAGGTGGAATGGGCGGTTCAACAGAGCTACGGCTCTGGGTGAGTTTGGCAACTGTATTAAAAAGAAATCTAGGATAATCTTATTCTCCTCTATTAATGAGGAAAAATATGCTGCTCTTGTTCTACAAAGGGTCCTCTTAAACAGCAGTAAACTATTTTTCCAGATTAGGTATGATTCCCGCAGGCCTGTGGAGCAATATTTTCTGTCCAGTTTCCTAGCATTTTGCTTCAAAGTGCGCAGCTCTGCATTAAACCAAGGAGCCAGCTTTCTATTTTTAACATTTTCATTTTCAGAGGAGCTGCGTTGTCTAAGGCAGAGGTCCCCAACCAACGGGCCGCGGACCGGTACCGGCACGTCGGTCATTTGGTACCGGGCCGCACAGAAAAAAAAAATTAATTATCATAATAATAATATTATATATATATATATATATATATATATATATATATATATATATATATATATATATATATATATATATATATATATATATATATATATATTTTTTTTTTTTTTTTTTCAGAGGAGCTGCGTTGTCTAAGGCAGAGGTCCCCAACCAACGGGCCGCGGACCGGTACCGGTCCGTTGGTCATTTGGTACCGGGCCGCACAGAAAAAAAAAAATTAATTATCATAATAGTAATATTATATATATATATATATATATATATATATATATATATATATATATATATATATATATATATATATATATATATATATATATATATATAAATAATTTATCAATGATCAGAGTCTGAGAGATATTTTATTTTGAAAAATATAAAAAATTTGGGTATTCTCTCCCAATTACATGAGTCCGTTCATCTGTGCCTCTTGACACAGGTTAATTCAGGTCACGTCATATGTTAATCCAGTCAAAAGACCTAAAGCTAGCAAAATTGAGTACGAAACAGACCTGTTTGGACAGCTTCTTTGGAAAGCGGAAAAGGCCCAATGAGGAGACAGAAGAAGAGGCTACAACTTCCAAGAAAATGAAAGCTGCATTTAAAAGACAATATCACGAGTCTTACTTAGGCCCCGTCCACACGAAGTCAAAACGAACACGAAACGCTAATATTTTCCAGAATGTTTGTCGTAAAGACGGAGACGTAAAGTAAATGTGATCGTCCACACGAATGCATGAAAACGCTGCAAAATGTATGCCAGGCCTGTAAGTGGCGCTGTGGTGCCAAAGCAAAAATAGGCGAAAACAGGCAACGAAATGTTGGGCATGCGCACTAATATTTATACATGGTTGCCCTGCGGGTCCATTTTCGTGGTTCAGTCAAATTCAGGTGCTGAACTATGTCGTCGATATTGCTCTGTTCTTCCTGGAGATATTCCAGAAGAAGAACATTCTGTTGTAAGCCCGACAGCAGGGTGAGTAGCATGAGCAGCAACCATTCAACACAGTACGGCGCCATTGTTGTTGTGATACTGTGTCGCGCATGCGTGTTTAGAGGCGACGCTATGACGCATGCGTGTAAGAAAAAAAATGCGGTTAGAGCTTAAAGATGGAAACGCGAAAACGGCGTTTCAAAATCTTCCCACTCTGAAGGCTTAATAAAAAAAAGATCGTTTACAGACCCCCGAAACGCCGGCTTCGTATGGATGAGAGGCTGGTTTGGTGAAAAATTTGTGCGTTTAGGCCAGGGTTTGACTTCGTGTGGACGGGGCCTTAAAATATGGATTTATCGCCCAAGGTGATTCTCACGCGCCAAACCCACTCTGCATAATATGTGGCAACAGGCTAGCAAACGAGGCAATCAAGCCTTCAAAGCTGCTTCGGCACTTGGAGACTAAGCATCCTGCCTTAAAAGACACACCTTTGGACTTTTTTGAAAGAAAAAAACGTGAACAAGAAAGACAGAAGCAAGTACTGATGGCCACCACATCAACAAATGTGAGTGCTCTGAGAGCATCGTTCTTAGTGGCTAACCGTATTGCTAGTGCCAAGAAACCTTTTACTATTGGTGAAGAATTGATCCTGCCCGCTGCAAAAGACATTTACCGTGAACTTCTAGGAGAGGCCGCAGTTAAGAAGATAGCACAGGTTCCTCTTTTGGCTTCAACCGTCACTAGGCGAAAAAATGAAATAGCAGAGGACATTGAGACACAACTGTTGGAGAGGATTAATACATCGCCGTGGTATGCAATCCAGGTTGACGAGTCTACTGATATAGACAACAAGGCAATACTACTTGTTTATGTGCGATATACACTCACCGGCCACTTTATTAGGTACACTGGTCCAACTGCTCGTTAACACTTAATTTCTAAGCAGCCAATCACATGGCGGCAACTCAGTGCATTTAGGCATGTAGACATGGTCAAGACAATCTCCTGCAGTTCAAACCGAGCATCAGTATGGGGAAGAAAGGGGATTTGAGTGACTTTGAACGTGGCATGATTGTTGGTGCCAGAAGGGCTGGTCTGAGTATTTCAGAAACTGCTGATCGGCAGTTGTGTGGGCTGAAATGCCAGGAGAATGGCCAGACTGGTTCGAGCTGATAGAAGGGCTGATAGCCGAAAAATGTCACCTGAACTAAACAGCGTACTGAATGATGTCGTTAAAGTTATTAACCACGTCAAAGCGCATGCCCTTAACTCACGTCTGTTTAAGCAGCTTTGTGAGGAGATGGGCGCAGAGTACGGACGCCTTCTCTTACACACAGAAGTAAGGTGGCTATCTAAAGAGAGATCATTGGCCAGAGTGTTTGACTTACGGGAGCCACTGCAGAGATTTCTTTCAGAAAAAAAATCACCACTGGCAGCACATTTCAGTGACAAGGACTGGGTCGCAAAACTTGCTTACTTGTGCGATATATTCAATCTGCTCAATGAACTCAACCTGTCACTTCAAGGGAAAATGACAACTGTATTCAATGCAGCAGATAAAGTAGCTGCATTTAAAGCCAAACTGGAATTGTGGGGACGGCGAGTGAACAGAGGGATATTTGACATGTTTCAAACATTAGCAGGGATTTTAGAAGAGACTTTTTAGAAGGCAGAATATCCCGAGATCGCCACACAAGCACTGAAAAACCTGCTTCCCTTTCCAACATCCTATCTTTGTGAAGCGGGATTTTCTGTGGTTACAGCGACCGAAACTAAGCAACGGAGCAGACTGGACATCAGGAGCACACTTCGTGTTTCATTGTCTCCGATTATGCCCAGATGGGACCGGCTTGTTTCGGAGAAACAAGCTCAGGGCTCCCACTAATCCAGCCTAATGGTGAGTTTTATTTGTATGCTGTTTGTATTTGATTTTATGCCAGTTGTATCATTTTATTTGATCGTATTTAACCCCCCCCGCCGGTCCGTGAAAATATTGTCTAACATATAATCGGTCCGTGGCGCAAAAAAGGTTGGGGACCGCTAGTCTAAGGCACAGAGAACTAGCAACCCTATCAACAAATTCATCAACCTGTGAAGGGGAGTAAACTAAGCTTTTGCACTCTGCAGCACTGCTCAGCGACACAGAGGAGAAAGTGAAACAGTTTCTTCAAAATTTATAACTGCACTATCTGATAATGATCTGCTAAAGTAGAACCTTCTTTTGGGGGAGGAGAACTCTAATAAAGTAATCCTGAAGGTTATTAAAAAGTGGTCAGAAAGGACAGAGTTGTGAGGAAATACTGGTATTTCTTTCCTGGACACGGCCACCTTTTTCAGTTGCCTTTTGTATCTCTGCTTTTGTGTTATTGAACCCCAGTCGGCCTTGGCAGATGGCCGCTCACACTGAGCCTGGTTCTGTTGGAGGTTTCTTCTTGTTAAAAGGGAGTTTTTCCTCTCCACTGTCGCTACAAGCATGCTTAGTGTGAGGGATTGCCTTTGAGTCAATGACTCAATGCAATTAACTGGTTTTCCTCAGATAGAATAATTTGAATCAATCTGACTGTGTTATCTGGTGAACTAAAGTTTTTTGAGATGATATGTGTTGTGAATTGGTGCAATATAAATAAACTAAATTGAAAAAAATTAATAACAGTTAATGAATAATAAACAGTTTGTCAATACAAATAAAATTGCCTACATCATCATACAGTTAATTAGGTATCCTAATATTAGCTTCTGTTTATCTTCTAGGCTTAAATGTACTACTGCTTATCACAGCTGATTCTTCTGACCAACTTTCTTACAGTCACCAAAATCTGCTGCAGAACATTCATGAAACAATAATGTCATTCAAGCCACTTCTTAAATTTGAAGGACACCAACCCTGGAACATTTCCTCTAGAGGAGACCAAATTTATCATTTGGACTGAGTCTGAGCAGCACTGCAGCTCAGGTGAGCTAGAAGGAAATCTTGCATCTTCTTCCACAGGTGGAGTTCAGCTGCAGCATGAGCTTTGGGCTCTCCACCCCACACCACTGGAAACCTGAGCATCCCATGTAAAGCAGAGGGGCAGTGCGGTCCATAAGGAGGTTCTAGTAAATGTCCGGCTGCAGGGTAAGTAATGCTCTCAAAGTTCTTCTTCCCATGGCGCTTCAGTCTCTCCACCATGTCGTCCAGGTACCCCTTGCTGTCCCAGTTCAGGTCGTCCTCAGAAGCCACAAAGAGGAAATGTCCATTGGCTCGTTCAATGGGAACGACGCTGCCTTCGTTCTCCTCAGCCAGAGGGTCTTCAACAGCGTACTTAATAATGTTAGCGCCCGACTCGGTGGGAATCACCTTGCTGAAGTTGAACATCAGCGGCGAGAGGATCTGACGGTTCTTATAATAGAGGGGAATGCCGACGTTGGCGCTGCAGCCATTAATCCACAACACAGCTTCAACCCCTTGCACAAAAGCAGCGAGTGAAAGAGCAATGTCGCCCCCCTTCGATCGAGATATTACTCCAACTCCTTTACTGCTCGCCTGCAAAAGACATAAAAAACAACAGAATGATCAAATTAACCTCAGAGAAAGTTACTGTATTACAAGGAAATGTGTTTGCTGCCTATTTTTAAAATGATCTCATTGTTAACCAGCTGGGTTTTTTAAGTTTTTTTTTTTTTTTTAGTTCAGCCTAAAATGTTCCTCACTTTTAGATTAGAAGTACTTTAATTCAAAGTTTCTTTGATTTTCTTTCCTTTTCATGTTTGCACTTGAATATTAACCAATTACAGTGCTGGCCAAATGTTTTTGCACCTCTTCAATTCTGCCAGGTAATTCTCCATTCCTCCCAACAACTTATTGCAATTACAAATGCTTTAATATTAATAGGGTATTTTAGCCAAAGTCCTTAATCGATTCAATTTCGATTCATGCAGTTGTCGATCTGCTTTTACAGTAATGAAAGTGGTTCAATGTGTTTTTAAAATACTCATGTTTTTAATTTTTTCCTGTCATATTAAACACAAAGTGCAAACTTGTAAATCTGATAGTTTACACTTGAGATATAAACAAAACTGTCTCAAAAGTGAAAGCTTGTAGTGAAAAGTGAAACAAATTGAAGCCTCACGTTTAGCCCTGAAAGGTTTCTTATTGGATGTTAGCATAGCGTGATATCTTGTCAAATGATTTCTGAGATTTATAGCGTTTCTACAATAACTGACCTCCGCTTTACAGATCTTTAGTTGTTTTAAATCCAAAACGGTTCCAAACATCAGACTTCAGTTTGCACAGCTTGCTGAGCGGTTTGTTACTCGTTTCAGCATTTGCAAACGCCTGCTCATTTGAATGTGAACGTCACGAACTCTAAAACTAATTGATCTCATTCCCTACACATCGATTTTGCAAAAATTTAAAGGAATCGATCCAAAAATCTATTAAATATTTTTTTTTTTTTTACCCAGCCCTAGATATTAATATCTTCATTTATTTTTGCAGCAAATGAAAAAAACAAAAAATATTGTCAAAAAGCCAAATTGGATACAATTCCACACAAAAATAAAAAAAGGGTGCAGCAACAGTATCGGCACCCTTAGAAAAATGATGTGATGCTTCTCTAACTACACATTTCATGAAACTTCATGTTAACATGTCACCACCTACTGGTGGAAAGCATAACTACAGTTATTAATATAATCTGTGATATTTTTGCTATTTCTCTTTTTTTCCCCCAATTTAAGTTTGAAATTTGTCTTGATTGGTGTGTAAAAAAATCTTTTGTACGTTTTTTTATGTGTAAAACGTCTTAGAAGAGAACGATCTTTTAAGATATGCTGTATTTCTATCATTTTAGAGAAATTAGCTCAAGCAGACAGTGAAAGTGTTCATGCAAATTGGGCAATGATGAGCTAAATGAAAGGCGTTGTTCGTTTTTGTTCAAAAATAATAGTTTTTCCACAGTTTTTGGTTTCAATCTGGTTGGGAGTTTACAACCGACCAATCTTTTGGTGGAAACAACCAATCTAATTTGGTAAAAGGCCAGACCATTACAAATTCATAATTTTGGCCAAAATACTGATCAAGTGCTATAGCAGCTTTCAAATCCAAGACCAAGTCTTAAACCATCAACCTTGGATTAAAAGGCAAATTCTTACAGCATCCCACTCTCAACACTAATTTGTCTATAGAAAGCAATTCTACTGAATGCTACTATTACAACTAAAACCAGCGGCTAGCTGGCTGCTTGGGTTTAATTCTATATTTTTCAGTCAGTCAGCAACAAAATACAAAAAAAATCCAAAAGCATTTTAAACATTTTTACGATGCCAATGAACACAGATTGAGATGTGAAATGTTTTCTAAATATCTAGAATATTCTTTCTATATTCTATCTATCTATCTAATATTCTATCTATATATATATAGATATAGATATATCTATATATATATATATATATAGATATATATATATTTATATATATATCTATATAGATATATATATATTTATATATATCTATATATATATATATACATATATATATATACCTATGTATAGGTATATATATATATATATCTATATCAATAAAGATATATATCGATATAGATATATATGTATATATAGATATATATACATTTATCTATATCTATATAGATATCTATATATAGATATCTATATCTATATATCGATATATGTATTACATTTTGAGTTTTTTGTTTGATGGGGGAAGGGGTTATTTAGGCACAACCATTCTGTTTAGGTGATGTTAATGAGAGGAGGAAACAGCTTTCTATGTTTGCTTTAGATTATGGCGAATTAATGTATTTAATTAATGTTTGAATTAGTAAACAATGAACATTGTTATGATAATAAATGTCTTTATCATAAGTCAAATGAAAAGACCAGCATGATAGTAAAACATGAGGGAAAGTAAAACCAACGCCTTCAGGAATAGCATCTATGTATCTATCTATACACACACACAATCTCTGTACTTTCATATCCATCTGTCTATCTCTATTTATATATATATATATATAGATATATATATATATATATATATGTGTTCATCTTTTGATGTGACAGTCAAAACAGGAAGTGAACACGATACGTCTCACCATCAGCATTAAATCTTCTCACCATTGTATTCTGCTGCATGTCTTTTGGATTTCCTTGTTGATTTGACAAACGCCCAGTTGAAAGGGGAAGCAGATTCAAACCTCAACATTGAAGTGTATGTTGTTCTAGGAAAATTCAGATTTTTCTTCTATTATATATTAATTTAGCCTATTTACTATCTATAAAAGTTTTCACTCAGTCTGTTTCACCTTCAAGGCCACATCGTTCTCCTGTGTGAGGGTGTTTTTAGACCAGACATAGCCTCTTCCCAAAACAAGACAGATTTTTCTCAAAGATTCTTCATAACATGTGTTGTGATTCTATAGGTAAATTCTATTCCCAGCCCGCTGGGAATTTATGTTTCTGATACTTTAAGATGTTTATTGCCCTCCCCTGTATGGGGGGGGGGGGGAATATCTTATTTAATCAGATATTATTTCAGCTGTTATATAGTGTTTATGACACACAATCCTACTAACTGTGTGTTAGAACAATAGATAAAAGAGTGATTCGAGCACTAATCATGGTCAAACAGTTATTTCTGCACATACATGGAATAAATTCACCACAACTTCTGTTCAAAATATAAGATTTTATTAACAAAAATCATTCAGCTCCAAGTCAAACGTATTTCAGTTTAACACTCTCAACTAAGACTAGTAAAACTCAACTAAACTAAACTAACTACTATGTACAAAGAGGAAGGGAAGCATGGTTGAAAACCATATTACAGTTTAAGATGGATTCTGTGTTTGAAACCAAAGTTTATCTGGAATAATTTGGGATATGATCAAATTAGCTTTTCACTAATTTTAAAGAAATTGGAATGTTTTCAGACCAATTCACAATGCAAATCCATGAGGTGAATAAAACGTTATTTGGCCAAATAATGTTTTATTAAATGATTTGCTTAATCAAGAACCAAAAACCTTTAGCTAAATGATTCTTTACCCTCTTTGAAATAGCTAGCAGCGAATAGACATCAGGATTCCACTAAATGACTCTTGGTCATACTTGGTAATGGAAATTTAATGAGCATTTGAGGAACACATGAACATTAATGTTATATCAGTGTTTAAATCCTTAGTGAATAAAGCTTGTCTAAGCTTTAGCAACAGCTCAACACATATTCCTGTAGCATAGCGTAGCATGCAGTCCATTCTTTAGCATCAATTAGCGTTGTCTTTACTGAGCAGTAAACACACGATATGATTAGCATCATCAAAGACACATTGCTTGTTTGGTCCCTAATCATGCCAGACCTGCAAACCTTTTTCCATGTCCATTTGTAAAAGCTTGAGTTTCATCCAGTTTTGCAGCTCTACAGTCAGGGATTCTTTGTCTCAGTCTCACAGCAGGGGTCCCCTCAGTCTCAAACCCAGGGCATGGTCTTCATCCAGTTTGGCTCTGTAAGTTCTGAAACTCAAGAGAAATGTGTTGCAAAAGTTCTGTTTGCAGCAGTTAGGTTCTGAAGAGTTCTGACTCATCCTCAATACCCCGTTTAGAAGGTTCAGGGAGTGAGGACTTCTGGCGTCGAGGTCCCTGGAGGTCAGCAGGAGGATCAAAACAAACCAATTCTTTTTGGTAAGATGAATCTTTTGTCGGCACAGTTTAAATTAAATTTCAAAAACTAAATTAAAAAATAACAGGTTGTTAACAGATTTAAAGATTATTAGAAATCAAATACTGGAAAATTAGCTCAAACAAAGTCCTCTTCTTCTCCATAAGAATAATTAAATATATAAATGTCATCTAAGAACAATAACAAAAGAAAAAAAACTAGCTAAATTAAAGATTAATAGGTTAATAATTTTAATGCACTAAATTAGTATAATACTAAAGAATATACATACAAAATAAAAGATAACTTTTCTTTTGGGGACAAAAAAGGCAATTCTGTTTTTTTTCCACCTGTTAACCAAAAGACCCTGGCATAGGAACGTGAGGCTCTCTCTAAGCACTGAGATGAAAGTTGTAGGTGCCACCAGAAGGTACTTAATTTTACTGAGACATCGGTAATCTAGAGTGGGATCCCCCCCCCAGTTATCCAGGTCGGCACCAGAGGATTGGTGCGCATATTGGAAACCGGTAAATTGCCTGTAGATAATTGGACAGATTTGCAGTTCTAGAGCACTAGAACAAAGGCAAGGTTCCAGGGAGAGCCCAGACACACTATGGAGAAAACTTATTTCAGCCGCTTGTATTGGGATCTCGTTCTTTAGGTCATGACCCAAAGCTCATGACCATAGATGAGGGTTAGAAACGTAGATCAACCGGTAAATAGAGAGCTTTGCTTTTTGGCTCAGCTCTCTCTTCACCACAACAGACCGGTACAGTGCACGCTTCACAGTAGACACCGCACCAATCCGCCTATCGATCCATCTTCCCCTCATTCTTGGACAAGACCCCAAGATTCTTAAACTCCTCCACTAGGGGCAGTACATCCTCCCCAACCCAGAGAAGGCACACTTTTCCCTCTCAAGACCATGGTCTCAGATTTTGAGGCACTGATCCTCTTCCCGGCCGCTTCACACTACAGTGAGAGCTGTAGATCATGCCCTGATAAAGCCAATAGAACCATATCATCTGCAAATAACAGAGATGCAATCCTAAAGCCACTAAAACAGATCCCCTCAACACCTTGGCTGTGCCTAGAAATTCTGTCCATAAAATTAATGAACAGAAACGATGACAAAGGGCAGCCTTGGCGGCAGACATGTTCACAAGTCATTTTTTGCAAGTCCAAGTCAAGTCTCAAGTCTTGAGAGCTCAAGTCCAAGTCAAGTCTCAAGTCTTGAGAAGGCCTGTCGCAATAATCAATTAATCGCACAAAAAATTCTAATCACTTGATTAATTAAAAAAAGTGCAATAATTTTCGTGCTTGCTTGTTTCTCCTTGTGTTTTCATCTCTGTCAATGAGACGGTATAGCTTAAAGGTCGCTATTATATCTATGGAATGATCATTATCTTGAACTGTTAAATGAAAAATACAATTAAAAAAAGCACACATGCAAAAAAAATTTCCAGATACATTTTGCATTTTTAGTTTTTTTTCTTTCAAAAAAAACTATTTTCTTACAGTATTTACCTGACATTTGTGGTTACAACTGTTTCTAGTTTTAGCAGTAAATGTCTGCCCTTTTATTTTTAGGTGAAAATGAGGACTGTGGAAAAAAAACACAATCACAATCCTGCCTTTTATTAATACATAGGAGGTTAGCAACTACAAGAGATAAAAAAAAACCCTAAACAAATAGCAGGACAATAACAATACTTTTATAAAAGAAACATTGTGGCAATAACTTTTTGTAACTTAATGACTTGGCGGGCATTATTTTCAATTCAATTCAGTTTATTTATTTAGCGCTAATTCAAAACATTATTCACAACATATTTCTCCTCTACCACTGCCATGAAGCTTTTAAAGCTGGGCTTGTCGATCAAAGACAAGGGGAGGTTGCATGAAATAATGAGGTCCTGAATTATTGCCTTATGTCTGTGATGTCCCTGGCTGTACACCTGCACTGCACTGTGGCTGATAAAATTAGATGTGGTGGACCAAGCATCGTGTATTTTTTCTAAAGAAGCTGCAGTTTGCTGCACTTTTATTCCCGCCTTATGTAAAGTTTTTGTAGCCAAAGGTTATTATGAACGGTGGCACCGAAACAAGGGGGGTAATCATCGCTTCCATACCTGTATGGGTTGCATGCATGCATGCGCACGGGCATATATGTCACGTACTGTTGCGTCAGTGACGTCAGTGTGTTGCACAGGGAAAAATATGATTTATGGTTTTCTTTCATTTAAATGTTAGTTTTATGCTTTGCATGTTTGGAGAGGAAGATATGATTTGTTTTTCTTTGTATTTTCTTCTTGAGCTTTGCATGTTTTGATGTTTCTTTTTTATATGATTTTTTCCTTTATTATAGACTTTTGAATTTTTCCTGCATGTTGGGTTGTTTTAGTTTGTTTTTCCCTTGTGACAATCCATGCGCACTGGACTGAAGTAGTTGTCTGAGGAGGCAGAGTGCATTAATTGCGCTGCGTAATTGCTGCGCTCAGGTATGAGCAGGGGCTGATTAAAGCCAACATAAAAGGAGTCTGGAGGAAAGGAGAACGGAATCTGCAGGTGACAGAGACGGACGCGCAGCCGGGGGAGAGGCAGGCGGGATCCGTGCGCCAGGAGGGTGCACAGATGGCCCAGTAAGGAGTATTAGGGCAGAGGAGGAACCTCGCCTGTAAGTAGCGCTCCCCCTCGCTTAAAGCATAAACAGGAATATATCTTCCGACGGGGTTTTGGCGCGTGGATGCTGGCGTTCTCCTTGCTTCTCTTTTTAGCTGGATCGGTCTGGAAAGGGGCGTGGCACGCCAGGGAGTGGAACAGTGCCGGAGCGCCGCTGAGTTGGCTGTGGATCAGTCAGTGGGTGCTCCAGGCCGATCACTCGCACCAGAAGCCGCATAACAAGCGGAGTCCAACTTCCAGCCTCTGATTTTTAAGGAAAACTCTTGAATTTTAGGTTTTATCAGGAAAAGAAAAGGACTGTTTTATTATGCCACTTTTGCTGTGGCTTTTTGTAGAAATAAAACACTTGAACTTGAGTGCTTCACGGTTTGGGTCTTTGAGTTGTTTGCTCCCCCTTGTGTCAACGATTTA